TATTATTATTATTATTATTACCTTTATTATTTTTATTATTATTATTATTATTACCTTTATTTTTATTATTATTATTATTATTATTATTATTATTATTATTATTATATTTGTTGTATAAATGTAAAAATGCTATATGAGGTGGTTGTATTTAATAAAATCAAAAAATTAGAGAAATGAAGAACTAGAGGAATGTGGAATGAAAATTAGAAAATTGGAGAAATGGAAAACTGGAAGAATGGAGAAGGAAAACTGGAGAAATGGAGAAATGGAAAAACAGAAAAACGAAGTAAACGAACCCTTAGCCTTTTCCCAATCAACAAACTGCATAGCTCATTTGATAGCTAAAGTTATTGGGTTTTCAGCGTCATGAGATATGACTTGTGGGAGTCTATTTTTTCATTTGTGATAAGTTGTTTTTGATGATTAATGAACTATTGGTTTTTTAAAAAATGATTATTAAAAAATGAAAATTGTGGATCAATAACAAAAGAAAATATATTAAAGACTCATTGTGAAACTAAATTAGAATTATTTTTCAAAATTTTTTTAAACCAACATACACCAAAACAAATGCATTAATTCATAAAGTCACGAACAAAATTAGGGGATCACCTTCTCAAAAATAAAGATTAACTCGAGAAACAACTGTTTTAGTAAGAGCGTGGCACAAGTTGGTTCATTGACCGACTAATGAAAACAACACGACATAACCCTAACGAGTTCATTATAAAGCAACAATCGCTAACTTCTTACCTAACGTAAGATAAAACAGGCCACCTATATATCTGATAAGTCATAAACAAGATTTAAAAACTCAATACAAATATTCACTAACAACTTGTCCTTCAAATTAATATCTAATGCATCTTACATATATTTTTACCCATACCTTTTCTTTATTTAAAAAAAAAAAAACACGTTTTTAATATCATAATTAATATAACAAAAATATTTCATTTTTTATTATTATTAATCAAAATTTTTAAAAATATTATATGTTTAAATAAATTAAAAGGCAAATTTACAGTTATAAACTTTGAAATAAGAATCAAATAGGTCAAAACTACAATTCTAACAATAAATTAATCTGTGATTTAAAAAAAAAAAAACAATAAATTATTCCGTGAATTCAATTCCATTTTGCAAGGTAGACACAGATACAAAATACACAATTTACATATTAAATGTTCAGAATTTAAATTGTGCACACTTAGTATGTAAATTGTGCACATTTTATGGAAGTGTGAACTGGGAGTATATTATTGAGTGATTACAGAAGCAATAAATAGAGTGTAATCCCACAGAAGAAGGAACTTACACAAACAAACCCAATAGACTAGGTAACAGACTCTAACCAACCCATACTAAGTCTTAGTCCCAACACGCCCCCGCAAGATGGGAGCACCATCGGTGAGACCAATCTTGGACCTGAAAACAGTGAACAAATGCCGGCCAAGCGGCTTAGTCAAAAGATCAGCCACTTGTTCTGATGACCGTACATAACGAACTCGAAGCAAGCCAGACACAACCTGCTCACGGACAAAAAAATAATCAAGCGCCAAGTGCTTCATCCGAGAGTGGAAGACGGGATTCTTGCAGACATAAGACGCACTCATATTATCAGTAACCAAAACCGGGGAAGTACGCAACCGCACCCCAAGTTCATGAAGCAGATTCCGAATCCACATAACTTCAGCAGCGGAATTAGCGAGAGCACGGAATTCAGCCTCCGTGGAAGATCGAGACACGCAGCGTTGTTTCGCAGACCTCCAGGACACAACATTCGGCCCGAAATAAATGACATAGGCCGTGGTTGACCGTCCCCCATCTCGAGTGTCTCCCCAATCCGAGTCCGAGTAGGCCGTAAGAGACAAAGATTGACCCCTGCGAAAATGTAAGCCAAGATATAGGGTCCCCTTCAAGTAACGAAGTACACGCTTCACAGACTGCCATTGGAGTTCAGTAGGTGCCGCCATAAACTGCGCCAAGCGGTTCACAGCAAATGAGATTTCCGGTCGCGTGATAGCCAGGTACTGTAACCGACCAATCGCCTGCCGATAAATGGTCGCATCAAACGCAGGAGAGGTGACAGCATGTAAGTCAACAGATGTATTCATGGGCGTCGCTACCTCTTTCGCCCCCGACATACCAAACTGGTCCAGAGTATCAACCACATACTGAGACTGTGATAGAAACAAACCATCAGCAGTTGGAACAACCTCAACACCTAAAAAGTGATGAAGCGGCCCCAACTCTTTAAGCGAGAATCGATGCGCCAGACGACGCACAAACGCATCGACAAACCCATCATTATTCCCTGTCAGAATTATATCGTCTACGTAAACTAGAAAATACACAATTACATCCCGAGAACAGTAAACAAACAAAGACGAATCAGCTACAGATTTTTTGAAACCACAAGCCACAAGAAATTTTGATAACTCCAAATACCAAGCCCGCGGGGCTTGCTTCAGACCATAAATTGCCTTTCGCAATTTGCAGACATAACCTGGGAGCTGTTGATCAACAAAGCCAGCCGGCTGTTCCATATACACCTCTTCAAACAAAGTGCCATTTAAGAAGGCGTTGTTTATATCCAACTGCCGTAGCGGCCACCCCTGTGACAACGAAATTGTGAGAATAACCCAGATAGTTACCGGTTTTACAACCGGGCTAAAAGTCTCGAAATAATCACGGCCGGCTTCCTGCAAAAAACCTTTTGCCACCAGTCGGGCCTTGAACCGATCTACCGAGCCATCAGCTTTACGTTTCACCCGAAAAACCCATTTGCAACCAACCACCGCATGATCAGGCCGTGGTACCAAATCCCAGGTGTTATTTCTTACCAACGCATCAAACTCAGCGGTCATGGCAGCCACCCACTCACCATCCTTCATAGCTTGTGCTACTGTACGGGGTTCAACTGACAAGGCAACAGGATGAACACTAGCTGTATTCACCATCTTGTCGTTGAAGTATCTGGGATTCGGTCGGCGGTGACGTTGCGACCGACGCTGTTGGGGCGCCTGGGAGTCCACCGCTTGTGTCTCGGAGACTGCCGACACTGACCCCAAGGCTTGAGAACTGCTCACACCCGGTATGGAAGTTGCCGGCTGTGATTCCGAACCTGAAGCAAACGGTACCGCCTCCGAACCCTCAAGCATCGCCTCCGAATCCTCAGGCACTGACTCCAAAACCGCAGGCACCGAGTGTGACGCAGTAGACCCCGACTGTGACGGTGCTACGGTGGGCAGTGCTGACGCCACAGAGTCTACAACCGGTTGACATGCAAGCTGCCCGGAGTCGATTGACCTGGATGAAGACAGATTTTGACCTGCATTGGAATATGACACAACAGGCAATGGTCCTGAGACAGGCACTATTTGTGGAGGGGAACTTAGTTGAACATTTTCGGAAGTAGTGTGTGACACATTTAGTAGTCTATGAAATGGGAACTCGTCGGTTATAAATGAGACATGGCGGGAGAAGTATACCCGGCCATTAGACGGGTCCAGACACTTGTATGCTGACTGACTAAGTGAATACCCCAAAAAGACACACGCCCGAGACTTTGGGTTCAACTTACCGGGAAAGTAAGGCTTTAACCAGGGAAAACAAAGACACCCAAAAGGCTGGATTTTATCATAGTTGGGTTTCTTATTGAATAATTTTTCAAACGGTGAGGAGTGTTGAAGTATAGGGGTAGGCATGCGGTTGATTAAGTAGACAGCTGATTGAAATGCGTACGACCAATACGAGGGCGGCATGGATGCAAAGTGTAGCAAAGCCATGCCACTCTCTACAATGTGTCTGTGACGCCTCTCGACAGAACCATTATGTTCCGGGGTGTGAGGAGGGGAAGTGAAATGTGAGATGCCAAGCTTATTGAAGATTGGGATCAATTTTGTATATTCCCCCCCATTATCTGAAAAAATAGATACTATTCTATGCCTAAAATAGTTCTCGACCATGCCCTTAAACTGAAGAAAAACTCTATAGACATCCGATTTTAGAGTTAACGGGAATAACCAAATATATTTCGTATAGTGATCTACGAAACTAACATAGTACTTAAAGTTATCTACTGAGACAGTTGACGAACACCACACGTCTGTGTAAATGAGCTCTAAAGGCTTAGTACTTGTCATGGTATTAAATGAAAAAGGCAGTTTATGACTCTTATTTATACTGCATGAAGTACAAGAAAATGACTCAAGTGCCAAACGATTAAAAGGAACATTATTACTGCGCAAGATATAGGATAGAGTTTTGTGATTTGGATGGCCATATTGATGGTGCCACCTGGCAATGGAAGACTTGACACCGACATTGACTTGACTGACACGAGCGGGAATGGTATAAACGTCATTCACGACCGGACCGCGCACCAGAGTTGTTCCCGACGATCGATCCTTAACAAGAAAATGAGTGTCAAAAAATTCAACTGAAACTGAGTTAGATTTACATAACTTGGAAACAGAAATTAAATTTTTCTGCAGATTTGGAACGCACAACACTTCAGTTAGGGAAAGGGAGCGACTATTAAATGGAAGTGAAACAGACCCTGTGTGTGAAATGCGTAGACTCTTACCATCACCCAGAACAATCTCATCCGGACCTGCGTAGTCTGAAAACGACTGTAGGGACTGAGGGTCAGAGACAGTATGATGTGACGCACCCGAATCTATTAGCCACGATTTGGACTGCGCTAGACTAGTAGCCATGGAGTTCACCGTAGGGGATTGCTGGCCTTGGCTATGGGGTTCAATAACTGCAACATTGTTCTCCTTCAGGAATTTGGCAAGTTTGCGACAGTACCTTGCATCATGCCCGGGGTAATCACAAAAGTTGCAATGCCGAGCTGACCTGTTACCAAAGGACCTCCCTAGGCCATGCCTTCCATTCATACCGCCTCGGCCACGACGATTGTTGGACTGAAAGGTAGAGTCACCTGTATTGTTCGACCGCCGGTGTGTGACGTTAGCCGTAGGTACATGCACCTATGAAGCGGCATCATTGTCATGCAGCAGCCGCTCGTAATCTGTGAGAACGTCTTGTAGTTCCCCAAACGAGATGCTACCTGTTCGCACACGAAGAGCTGCCACGATGGGGTTATACTCATCACCGAGCTGAGTGAAAACGTGCACCACCAGGTCCTCCTCGTGAACTGGGCTTTGTGCAAGCGCTAAGTCATCCGCAATTGTCCTCATTTCACGCATGTAAGCTTCAACTGACCGGTTTCCTTTGGGGTTCTTCGCGAGTTTTGCTTTCAACGAGACAATGCGGCTGCGGGATGAGGCTGCGCAGGTCGTGGATAGCCGAGTCCATGCATCAAACGCCGATGAAGCCGATGAGATGATAGGCTGTAGAACATCGGTCAAACTGCCTAGAAGAGCACTCAGGATAATTTGATCCTGGCGATACCACGCCATGTAGGCCGGGTTAGACACTGTTTGCGCCGCGTCCGTGTACTTTGCCGGAGCTGGCTTTGTACCATGAACGAAGCCTACAAGGTTTAAACCAGTGAGTGTAGACTCCACCTGCTTTTTCCAAATGGGGAAATTGGATGTGGTAAGTTTAATTGGAAGATGAGAAGGGGCATAGATTTGAATGACAGTAGCTTGAGGTGTGGCAGCCATGTCTGGGAAAAAAAACAAGGAAAGGAGAGGAAAAAAAAAAAAAAAAATCTCGTTAGAGTTAAGGCTCTAATACCATATGGAAGTGTGAACTGGGAGTATATTATTGAGTGATTACAGAAGCAATAAATAGAGTGTAATCCCACAGAAGAAGGAACTTACACAAACAAACCCAATAGACTAGGTAACAGACTCTAACCAACCCATACTAAGTCTTAGTCCCAACACATTTAATATGTAAATTATGAACATTTAATAATGTTGTGGAGGGGAATCGAAACTGAAATTTTTTTTTTTAAATGGTACGCGCGTTTTTAGTCAAAACTACATTTGTTTTGCATGGTGCACACGTGCACACGGCATAACTATTGTGCCTGGTGGGTTGATTTTGAAATTTCCAAATCGGATCCTTGATGAAAATTTTGGCTTCAAAGCTCAAACACTACTCATAAGCCATTAATTTCTTCAACCTTCAAATCTTCAATCATCCCCACTGGGTTATTCATCACATACTGAAGGTGGAGTGTCTTTCTTCCCCAGTTCATCTCTACGTATTTTGCTTTTTATTATTTTTTTATTCTTTCAGTTCTCTTCTCCATTTTACTTAACTATTTGTATATTTATTTATTGTTTATGGGTTTGATTAAGATCAATTTTGCTCATACTACTTGAAATTTACTGGACTGGACGGGTTTAGCGTATGTACTGGTTGATTAATGGTGGAGTTAGGGACGGTACGCACTTTGTTGTTGTTGTTGTTGTTGTTGTTGTTGTTGTTGTTGTTGATCGTTATGTGTTCGATAAAATGTTAGAAAGAGTTTTAGAATTGTAGGCTAGTAGCTGTCATTTTATAGGTAAGAAATTGTATTTACTGGCTAAAGCCCATTAGTGACCCGGTCTTTTCTCTTTCTATGACAGTCTTTGCAATTGGGAAGGAAGACGATCAATGGAGAAGAGGGACAGCTCGAAAATGAATATCGCGATTATCCACCCTGATCTTGGAATAGGTAATTATTTATGTTTGTAGAAATCCTTAATTTTACTGAGTTCCTTGATTTGTTTTTTAGTGCCTTTATTCGTGATCAATTTGTTAACTCTCTCTGTACTAATTTAAGATCAAATTATGGTTTACATTGCAAAGATACAGTGTTATCTGATAATTCTTCAACATCAGACCGAAAGCCCACTAGCTATTAGTTAGGTTTATATTAATCTGTATTTAGTATTTAGTACACAGATCTTAACAGCTGTTTGTGTTATTATGTTTCTTCTTAATATCATTCCATGTTGCAAGTTGGATAAAATGCATTATGATTTGTTATATGAGAAAAACTTGAAGGGAATTCTATGTTATTTAATGATGAATCTTGGCCACATGCTGTTTTGAAAATTTGAGGTGTCCAGATAAAAAAGTTAGGATCTTGGTTGATACAGAGTAGATTGGTTAAGTGGCATCATGCATTGATTATCTTATTGCTTGTTTAGATGCGAAATGAAATGACCTTCTAAATGAGTTCAATTGATATGCAAAAAGTGCACTTTTTTTATCACTTAGTTGGTAGAGTTATTCGGTCCTTCATTTTCCCTTATGAAAGGGTATGGCTGTTATTATTATGATATTTGGTGATTTATTCTTTTACTTGTTTCTTATTTGCTGCAATATGTAGGTGGAGCTGAAAGGCTAATTGTTGATGCTGCTGTTGAACTTGCATCCTATGGACATAATGTTCATGTTTTTACAGCGCACCATGACAAAAATCGCTGTTTTGAGGAGACTCTTTCTGGTTGGTTTCTTACCTCTTTTAATATGTTCTACATAGACTTTTCTCTGTTCTTTTCTGGACTAGCTTTTTGTTTCTCATCTTAATCTAATTGATTTTAATTACACAGGTACATTTTCTGTAAATGTATATGGATCGTTCCTACCCCGGCATATATTTTATAGACTCCATGCAGTATTTGCATATTTGCGATGCATTTTTGTTGCTCTCTCTGTGCTGTTTCTGTGGCCGTCATTTGACATTATACTGGCTGATCAAGTTTCTGTTGTCATTCCACTTGTGAAGCTAAAAAAGTCAATGAAGGTACTGGGTTTCAAAATTGAATTGCATTCTGAGTTATAACCATAGTAATTTAGTATCTTACACCTTACGCAGGTTGTTTTCTACTGCCATTTTCCAGATCTCTTACTGGCTCAGCATACAACCATTCTTAGGAGAATGTATCGGAAGCCTATAGATTTTATAGAAGAAATGACGACAGGTCTTTTCTAGTTGCCATAATTGTAGCTCTTAATGTTTATTCTTTCCTCACTCCCATTTCTTATCTACATTCTAGTTTATTTCTTCTTCTTCTGATTTATTATTCTCCTTCTTCAACTGGCATCTATTTCTAATTGTGTGATGAAATGTAGGTATTGCTGATTTGATCCTAGTTAATAGCAAGTTTACTGCATCCACATTTGCAAAGACATTTAAGCATCTAAATGCACGTGGAGTTAGACCGGCCGTGTGATACGATCACGAGATATACTTCGCGTTACGGGCCTATGGAATACTGAAGAGGAGGAATAGGAAGACTTAGCTCTACCTATGGTGGCAGTAGAGAAGTCTGAGATTAAGGACAGAGAGTTGGAAGAAGAGAAACCTTCTTGAGAGATCTTTATTCAAATTCCAACTTGTCCTTCAATTACATACTCTTGTCATATTTAAGGACTACCAACATACTTAACTAAGGAAGGAAAGATAATTACCAACTATAAAGAGATTCTGAATAATATTGAAAAAGGAAAGAGAATAAATAAGATTGCTTAAATCAAGGGCATGGCTGATCTGTGAGATTTGAGCCTTTTGCGGTAGTACTGTTGTCCCACGAATGCATCATCACCCCCGTCCTGGAGATCAAGCTTGTCCTCAAGCTTGAAGGATGGAAAACGTTGGCAAAAATCATCTAAACTTTCCCAAGTGGCATCTTCTTCCTGCAAGCCTTCCCATTGCACTAATAGATCTGTATTCCCTCTGTTCATACGAGTGGCAAGAATGTTGGCAGGACGCAGTTCAAAACGCCCATTCACAGCGGGAGGCAACAACGGTGTAGTAACCGGTGGAGGCCCATTATACTGCTTTAGGAGTGAAACATGGAAAACATTGTGCACTCTGCAATCACTTGGCAATTCTAATTGATAGGCAACTGACCCAATTCGTTTCTGCACCTGAAATGGCCCAAAATACCGATGTGAAAGTTTGTGAGTGCGCCGCATGGTCAAGGAGTTTTGGCGGTACGGCTGAAGACGAACCCACACCCACGCCCCAGGCTCATAGGATATATCCCGGTGTTTTTGGTTGTAGGTTTGCTCCATACGAGATTGTGCCGTTTTCAAGTGATGTCGAGCATCATGAAGTATTTCATCCCTTGACTTCAAAGCCTCGTCGACTGCAGCTAGCTTTGAGAGGCCCGGCTCATATGAGAGGAGGCGAGGAGGATCCCTACCATAAACCAGCTTAAAGGGGGTGGTCCGTAAAGCCGAATGGAAAGAGGTATTATAGCAATATTCTGCCCACGCAAGTGCCTCCACCCATTTACGTGGATGGTCCCCAACAAAGCATCTTAAATAGAGCTCAATGGTGCGGTTGACAACTTCTGTCTGCCCATCAGTTTGAGGGTGGTAGGCTGACGAACGAGCCAATTTAGAGCCGCTAAGTTTAAATAATTCATTCCAGAAACCAGAAGTAAAGATTGGATCCCGATCACTCACAATAGACTCCGGCAATCCGTGAAGCTTGAATATCTGAGAAAAGAATGCTTGTGCGACTGAAGAAGCAGTGTATGGGTGTTGAAGGGCAAGGAAGTGAGCATACTTGGATAACCGATCGACGACCACCAGGATAACCGATTTCCCATATACATTCGGTAGGCCTTCAATAAAATCCATGGATATGTCTGCCCAAATCTGTTCCGGAATGGAGAGGGGTTGGAGAACACCGGCAGGGTGAAGGTTCTCCCATTTGTGACGTTGGCAAACTGTGCACTGGCTGATGAAATCTCGAACATCTGAAACCATTTTTGGCCAATAAAATTCACGCCGTAGGCGGTGGACTGTTTTCTGAACTCCCTCGTGTGTTGCATTATGGGTGGCAGCCACTATGCATGAAGTGAGAGCAGTATCTGGAGGGATGAATATTTTTCCCTTGTAAAAGAAAAGCCCATTCTGGAAGTTCCAGCCAAGAGATGAATCAGCAATCTTTTGTTCGAACTCCGCTAACCTTGGAAAAAGGCGTGTATGGGTCCTGATGTCGTCCAACAAGTCTGAATGATGAATAGAGAGGGCCAAGCAGCTACTACTTTCTAGCTGGTTCTGTCGTGACAGAGCATCAGCCACCGTGTTAAATTTTCCAGGCTTGTATTGAACCTCAAAATCAAATCCTAGCAGCTTGCTCATCCAATGTTGTTGCGGGGATGTCGTCAACCGCTGTTGAAGGAGATATTTCAAGCTGTAATGATCTGTTCGGATGACAAAGTTCCTGCCCCAGAGATAATGCCGCCAATTCCGTACAGCTTGCGACAACCCAATCAATTCCCTTTCATAGGCTGGAAGCTTCAAGTGTCTGTCTGCTAGCTTCCGGCTGTAAAAAGCTATTGGATGATCATTTTGGTGAATCACTGCACCAATGCCACTACCTGAAGCGTCACATTCAACCACAAATTGAGTGGAAAAATCTGGAAGTTGGAGGACAGGCGCTGAACACAAAGCCCGTTTGAGAGAAATAAAAGCAGCCTCGGCCTCGGAGGACCACTTAAAGTTTTGATTTCGTAAGAGATTTGTAAGTGGTCCTGCAATGATACCATAATTCTTGATGAACCGGCGGTAAAAACCAGCAAGGCCCAAGAAGCTTCTAAGAGCTGTGGTAGACCCTGGCGTAGGCCAATCGGAGACGGCTTGCACTTTCGTTTCGTCTACTGCCACACCTTGGCTAGATATCACATGACCCAAGTAGCTTACATGA